CAACCTTAATGCCACTAAGACACAACACCACCAGATGAAGCCGCAGCTGGAACTGATGGGAACCCCAAAGCGAACATTTGCTCTTTTGCAAGGAACAATCGCTTCTCGTTCTCCGACCTGGGATGTTTGGTGTTTGGGTCCACAAGCGTTGTTTCGGGAGATGCAAAAGCAAAATCCTCCTTCAGGTTGCACGTATACTATACTGTCTATGATTGTCTATGTTTGTGCAAGGAACCAAAGCTGTGAACTCGTGGTCAAGCAGGGCAACCCACGGTCAGCCTTCTCTGTTCGCCTGCGTTTCTTCACATTGGCTGATAGGTCATAGAGCTCTCGATGCGGCATCTCATTCCTGAAAGCCGTCAAGTGTCGCAGCTGGCACCTCAGCGGGAGTGAAACCAGGTAGAACATCGACGGTTGAATGCGCATCTTTAGAAGAAGCAAATCTGATTGGTAGTGAGGCTGGCACTGTGTCAGATCAGTCTCATAAACCGGTTTGCCAATCAAGTCTCCGGGAGTGGCAACAAGGTAGCACTGATAGTCAAGCATCAGGTTGGAACCATCGTGCAAAAGGAGTTTTGCAAACTCCTCAAGGCTGAAATCGGCATCCCACTTCTTTTTGTTACTGAAACAAATACGCCAGGTTCGGGCTCGGCTGTTTGGAGTTCCAAACATCTCTGGGTGAAGCCTCAGCGCCGGCATAAGGTTTGAAGAGGGCTACATCAGCTACATTGACGACATCGCGTTCACTTTTGAGGCCACAGCGTGACTTCCTGACGCTTTTGCGGGAGGTTCTTGTTGAGATATGCCTGCCGGAGTGTTGAGGTAGGGTCATGTGAGCCTGACTAGCCCCCACACCTCGTCATAGCCCACAACGTTCTCATGCAGACTCAAGTCCACACGACGTTGGAATACTGTTCCTGCGTCATGACACTTCTTCTTCTCCTTGTTCTGGAATCCCTCACGTTTTCCGTACCTGTGCGTCATAAATCCAGAAAAAAAGAACTTGTTAGTTGATGCGGTCAAACATGGTCAAACAGTTTGAAGGCTGTTAGTTGATGCCATCATGACGGTGGGGTCACGCACTCCAGAGCACGCAAGGCGCTCCCATCAATGCAACATCCTCCCTCTTGAAGGAGACTGGGCACCTGGGTCGGGTCGGGGGGTTCAATTGGAATATAAGGTACCCGGGCCCCACTCAACAGCCAAACAACAGATGAGTTGCTGTTTCTTGTGGGTCTCACAGAAGCATGTTTTCACAAGCTTCATTTTGGTTGGATCCCACTTTGAAGTCTGGCCCCCAGTGACCATAGTGCGGATATCCCGGAAACAGCATGAATCAGGGAAGCATTGCTGGCTCATCCGCACGCACGATTGATCTATCTCCACCTTGGGCTTGCGTCGATGGGAAACCATACAAACACACAAAGGATGTCCCAGTTCACTGGAAATCTTTAGCATCGAATCAGTTGTCACTTTTTGCTAAGGTGCATTGAAGGTGAAGGTCACATCTGGCCTAATCCCATAGAGCTCTTGGCTAGCGCTAGAGATCATTGCCCAAGCATGTCGCAGGCAAAGCATCCCCCCAAACAGGTCGAAGCAGCGGAGCTTGATGTCACCTGGAGCGGAACTTGATGCCCCAAAACCTGTTGTTCATATACGAATTCATTTGCCTCTCCAGCCAAGTGACGGAGCCTAGTTTTCAGGTTCTGCTCACCGATCAGTTTGGCCAATCGCTTCAGCAGAATTTTGGGCCACAACCTTGTGAATGTGTGTGTGTGTGTCAGCATTGACTGGCCAGTGGAACACATGAGACATGGAAAAAACAGAATGCAACTTGCAGAAAAAACCAGAGCTGAGTCATGGAAAAGCAAATTGTAACTTGCAGAAGAAAGACCCCAGAGCTTCTGCTGATGTTGGCACTGGGTATTCCGGCCTTGGCCAGATCATGAATGGAAACAACATCCTTCACAAGGGAAAGAAGCGCTTTTGCAAGGACATGTGCATTGTTTCATGCAAGGAGCAACTGTATATCATCGCGGACCTCCTCGTCCACTTCATCTGCTGCGATGGGCCCGGGATCACAGGAAGCAGGCCGCTTCATAGAAGAAGGTCTCTTCATGGCAAGGGGTCGGTTCAAGAGCGAAGCCAGATCCATTTCCGGTAAACCAGGTGGTATGGGCAACAGGCTCTGTTTTCTTTGGGCCAACGGACGTCAACCAGATAAATTGAGCGCGCTGGGCAAAGTGCAAAACTCATGCAAGGCTTCACCTGATCTCTAGTACTGTAGATTTTCAACCGACCTCCACTTGCTTTGACGTGCTTTGGTCCCCGGCAGTGTCTTGGATTCTCAGGCTTCCACATGGCCTGGTGGTGAGCGATCGATGACGGTGAGTGGACATGGCCAGCTGAATGGCAAGTGGGTTCAACTTCTATTCAACTTCTTTTCAACGGTTGTTCAACTTCTATTCAACTTCTAGTTTTTCGTCCGAAGCCGAGTCTAGCTGGCCTTGTTGCGACGAATGTAGAGCTTGGTGGTGTCCTGGAGGAAGATGAAAAGTTAAATGTGAGGTGGCAGCTAGTTCTGGTGATCTCCATTTTGCAAGAAACATAAGCTGGCGTCAGCTATCTTTAGCTTCAGAAGAGTCTTCAGGGCCCAGGAGCAAGTGTTTGCGTTTCTGTCACACAGATCCAGGTCCTGATGGTTCTTCGAGAAAAGTTGTTGCTGAGACCTGGGATCGGAGGGCGGTGTTTGACATGGATAATATATAGTCCCATCATACATATATATATATATTGTATATAGTCCCACCATATATATATACATATTTATATTTACATTGTTATATAGGCATATGATCGAAACGGACTTCTGAGAGCAGAGGCAAAAGGCACAAAGAAAACATATATCTTTTGTTGATAGCGCTGATTTGTTGAGTGACTCAGACTCACGTGTCCCAAGGAGTGACTCTAAAAACATGACTTTGTTTTGTTTTTTCGCTCTTCTGCTAAAGACCTGAGCCGCTGGCATCCACAAGCACCCCCCGCCATACACAAATTCCTGGCCGCTGCTAATGTTCCCTGCTGCCGGCACTTGCGTTGGGCGGAACCGGGTGGCAGGTTGAAGCAAGAAGCTCTACATGTTATTTGGACCCACTCCTGTTTTGAGGATCTTAGTGTGTTTTTGAAAGTTGCACAGAACATGTTTACACAAAAAAGGTTCAAACCAACCGCACTCGGAGCACACTATCCAATCTGCTTGCAAGGTTTGGCTTTGAAGCCTTGCTCTCGACTTCCACAATCTGCTTGCAAGGTTTGGCTTTGAAGCCTTGCTCTTACTTCCACATGTCTTTTTTCCATGGTAGCGGAGAAGAAATATAAGAATCACTTACCACCAATCTGGGCTCACTTGCCACTAATGTAACTTACAACCAAGCAGCCTGGCGAGCTATCATTCGATCTGCCTCCTCAGCTGCGGACGTTGGTCACTTGTCCCTGCTGGCAGGCCTTCAATTTGCTCGCCTGCGATGTAACCCTTGGTTTGAGTGGGTCCCCTCCCAACAAAACCTCAGCGACCCCTTGAGTCGCTTAGGGTGGGCAGACCCTGCCGTCGCTCATGCCGTCCAAACGGGTGCCTGGACGCCTCTGCGGCTTGCGCCAATTTGGCACCAGCTAGCGCCCGACTTGCACACCATTTCGTCTTTCCTTACAGCGTTGGAGTGAATCTGAGCCGGTGTTGGGGTAGTCAAATTTGCTCCTTTCGCGTAAACACCAACGCTGTAATTCCGCCGTCTGGATTGGATGATTGTGGTGATGGTGTTTGAAAAAGATGTCTTGCCTGCTGCGTCATGCTTGCTTGTGTTTGATTACTCAGGCTTCAGTCACCATCTTAATTGTCCCCTCCCGCATCCGCCCTCTCTCCCTTGGCCACAGCCGGGTGATTGCGGTTGTGGCCCTTCTCCTCCTGCCAGGAGCTTGAGACGTCCTGTTGTTAAACAACTCTCGTCTCTCCTCGCGTTGAGCTCTTGACTCCGGGGTAGTCAAATTTGCTCCTTCCGCGTAAACACCAACGCTGTAATTCCGCCGTCTGGATTGGATGATTGTGGTGATGGTGTTTGAAAAAGATGTCTTGCCTGCTGCGTCATGCTTGCTTGTGTTTGATTACGGTGATGGGCAAACCCTTTTGTATAGAGAGGATTTTGTATTTTTACCAGTTGCCTAAACAATCTGAGGAAGAAAGTGGCGAATGGCTTGGAACGGTGAGCGAGATCAAGTGGGATCGCAATTTATGGCGAGTGAAAGTGCAATTAGATAATTGCAAAGGTAGCGGACAGTGGCTTAAGGCCACTGAGGTATCACCGGTGAAGACTTCTAAGAGGCGTCGCTAGAAAAGGTACCGTTAAAAAAGGGACCGGCGCAAAAGCTACCGGTAGAAGCGGGGGCCAGTAGAAAAGGTTGGCGCCGACACAATAGGTATCAGTAGAAAAGGTACCCGTAGAACATTTCCCGGTAGAAAAGGTGCCCGTAGACAAGGTACCCGTAGACAAGGTAACGGTGTAGGTAGCAAGGACAGGAAAAAAACCACAAAGCGGACAAGAAGAGGAAAAGAACACGAAAAGCAGCAAAAGGACAAGAAAAGGACAGGAAAAGGACAGGAAGAGAAGAAAAGCACACGAAGAGGACAGGAAAAGGACAGGAAAAGGAACAGGACAGGACAGGAAAGGGGCACGAAAAAGACAGCAAGAGAACAGGAAAAGGACACGAAAAAGACAGGAAAAGGGCACGAAAAGGACACGGAAAGGACACGAAAAGGACAGGACAAGGACGGGAAGAAGACAGGAAGAAGACAGGAAACCGCCTAGCTCGTTGAATAATTTCACCCACTATGATGGCTCCACCAGGTTGCGTTCAACAACCACTACGTGGTGAAGCTTTGGAGGTCGAAACCATTCATGACAAAGCGACTAATGAACGCAACAGCGAGTCGAACCTTGACCCCTGAGCGCAGTCGTTTTGTGCCATCCTCCGCGCACCGGTCAAGCCATTTGTGAAGGTCTACTTTCCCTTCCTCCTGATGAGTGCGGGGCCTGAGGTGAGGCTGCAAACCGGTGCGCGGGGAAAACAATCGGTTGGCAATCGTTTGGCCATGTTTGCAGCGTTGGAACAGACACAGACACGGACACCTTGGAACCCACGAGAGTCATCAAAACACAACCCCCCAACAGACTTGCTCATGCCTGGACCATTTTGAGACTTTCTCAGGAGTCTTGCATGGATCATTTTGACAGTCTACTCGCCGGTTTTGGGTGTTTTTCAGTCTGATTTTGCACCCGGACTGATTCTCCCAATCGTCGCTTCGTCGGCCGCCCTCGTCCGTTCTCGTCGGTGTCCTCGCCGAGACAAGAAACGCTATGCGGGGCTCTCCTTCGGCTCGGCGGAGGAGAAAGGGAAGTTGGACTTTAAGGCCGGGGGCGTTTTCACAGAGGCTCCCAAAGGGAGGACCATCTCCAATGGTGTGGAAAATGGAACGGTTTTACCCGTTGGGGCCGGTTCCCCAAGACTAGGAGTGAGAGTCCCACAAACAAAAACATGGTTGCTTCTGCAGGGCTTTCTTCGGAGGAGATCACTGGCCCTTGGTGAACTATTTAACCCTCTCAGGGTGAACTTCGAAGGCCGCTTCCATTTCCCCTCCCTCGCCCATTTCGAGGAGTGCGCGTCGTTTCCACACCGTTTTCGGTTGACCGCTCGCCCGGACCCTTCGGCTCGACCTCCGTGAGGGCATTGAAGTGGTCCGGCGGGACTGGTGCCTTTTAGCAGCTTGGAGCTGGATCGGAAGACTGATCGGAAGACCTCGGAGGTGGAAAGTGGAAGGTGTCACCAAGCATGGAAGGTGCATCATAGAGGATCTGTTCATTCAACCAGGGCAAGTCACAGGGCGGCCAGACCGCCGTTTTTATGGCTCTGTGGCGCTGCCGGAAATTTGCCACAGGACGCCTGGCATTGAAACACAGGACGCTTGACATGTGCGGGATGTTTGGTGGTATTTCTTGATCGGCCACAGCCATTAAAAACAAAACATATATATATATATATATATGGGTGTGAATTGGGGTCAAAAACCCTTCGCGAAGAGGAACAGACACCCATCAGGCCGATTTGGGGGGCCTCAGGATTAAAAGTATCAACCTGCATGGGCATGGGTCCAACAAATGCTACCATTGGGAGGCTAGGGTGAGTGGGTTATCCACACCCACATCTTGGTGATCATGTGTCCACTCTCCTACAAATCAACGTAAATATTGGGAGATCATCGGAACCAAAACCAGTTGTTAGTTCTTTTTTCTTCTGCAAGCGCCACTGTTTATTTCATTGTCTAGCTTTGAGTCCTGAGTTCTGGCTTTGAAGGGGGTGAATATGCGCAGCTAACTGACCTTACTTGTGTACTTCTTGGATGGGGTTCTCTACCCGACATGAAGTTCCAGGGCGGCTGGTAGAATGCGCGGGGGACAAATGTAGCAAATAAACAAAATGTACACAGCTGCAGATCTCGGTTTCGCTTGGGCAGTTGCCTTCCAAAAGAACTCTGGACAGAGTGTCTTGAAGATGCTGCAGCTTCTGCAAATCACACCAGCTACAAGCTTGTGATTCAGCTCGTGCGGCAACCTGCCTTTCCACACACCCACACAGGTGTATCCACATAAAGACCTCAAGACAATCAATCCGTTTTTCCAGTTTCTGGCGCTCAGATTCGACAGATGGTGGAGGAGTGTCTTCACCTCTTGCTGAGGGAACGCTCCAAAGAGTGCCTGGGCATAGCAATTCAGTACCGTAGAAGGGTTTTTTCAGACAGATCTTTTTCCAGAGAAACATCATTTTTGCATGGCCGCTTGGATGACCATGAACTCCGAATACCAAACGGTGGTGTTCAGCCCACGGTTCCCATGATGATTTCAGGGAGTGTAGATAGCCCGTTACTCCCTTTGAGAGTTCTCAGCCATCCATGTTGTGCTCTGGGGTGATTTATCGAAGAAACCGCCGGCGAAACTCTGCCGGCGACACGTCTCGCCGCAGGCGTGCGAAGCAGCTGGTCCGCGACAGCGTCGCAGCACTGAGGTTCGGGCCGCGGCGGGGTACCGGCTGGTCGGTGCGTCTGATGGGTGCAGCGGGACGGTGTTCGCCGTTCTTGAAGTCCATTGACAAAAACAGTCTTTGAGGATGAGGAGCAGTCCAGTCCATTTCTGTCTTTGATATATCTTTTTTCCCATCCATTGAAGAAAAAGCGTTTGTGGCCTGTGACCATTCTTTTGCTGCCGAATGACTTGTTTTTGGCATCGAACCTACATCATTTGTCATGGTGTACTGTCAGACACCGTGGGGTAAAATGCCTGGGGGGGGAACCAGTTTCTGATGGAGCGTCGAAAGTTATTTAAATCTTAGTGCTCCTGCTACACGGGTTCCCTGGAATTCCAACAACCATTGCTTTTGTTTTAATGGTCTTTACCAAAGAACCGTTGTTTTACGAAGGACTTCAACAATAGAACACGAGGTGAACCGAACTCTTTCAATGGTCGAACCGAGTGGCTTGGGTAAGTACCACCGCTGGAGACACTTCAAGCACCAATGGCTTCCAAGGGACCATGCCATGGGTTGGGAGCCATGTGATGTGTCTGTCAGAGTGAGGCCATGGGTTGGTTTCAATATGGAGACCGAACCCCAGGCAATGACGAAGAAGGTCAGGTTAAAGAGTCCAGTCTACCCAGGGGTAGACTGGCGGTCTCTCCCTATCCAGGGCCAGAGGGTCTCCATATCAAAATACACACCCAAAGTGAATGGTACTTAGACAGGGAAAGACACGGTCGGACCAAGTTGCTTCGGACCGAGTTGGCCGCTTCTCTCTTCCGAGTTGGTTCAGTGGACGGTTGGTCGATCGCAGGTCTGGACGCGTGGATTTCAGGTGGGAGGAGGGTGAGGAGGAGGGGTGAGGAGGGGTGAGGATGTCAGGGCAACCTGTATTGGCTGTCCTTAGGACATGTTTGTCTCAACATCTTCCGATCTTATTTGCACCGGCACGCCAGTTCCTTGAGTATATAGCTTTTGTGCATGGGCTGATGAACTTTCTTTGGGCTGTCTTGGTGTGTGCATTGATCTAGTCAATGGAAAACAGTTTTTGTTCCTTGTGTCAGGCCAAAGGGCTTAGTATGCAGCAATCCAAATAATGCAGTCATCTAGAATGCCCGTGGAATTGCCAGCAATCCAACTAACGGGTTTGCCGATTTTGTTGAGATGTAGATGTAGCCTTCTAGAGTGTATGTATATATGTTGGTGCCGTTAGTTTATCCACTTCCACGGCTGCCTATTTTTAACAAACACACGATCCTTCTGATGCGGGGTCCCCCTTTCAGTCTTTGATTTTGGCTAGAGCGGTGTTGGATTTTTTAGAATCAGCCAGGTACCATGTCAATTGGGTGTGCTTAGACGAGGATGTTGTTTAAAGCCCTCCTTGTTAATCCTTTCATGATTTAAATTTGCGTCATGAAGCAACCTTTTCGGATGCCTTCCTGTCAACCATCTACCTGATATCAGCAAAGACAAAGTAGTAGATACATCCCTGTCACGACTCTTGGCTTAAATCTCAAGTAGTGGTTGATGTAGGGCCATATCATCTGATTCAAGTGATTTAAGCTACGAGTTCTGAGGGGGCAGGTGGTCTACGCTGGTGCCTTGTCCAAAAACACCCCCGCAGGCCCGGCCCAAAGCGGTCGGGTTTTCTTGGTGTTTTGGATGCGTCGGCGCCTCCCCACCTGGTCGAAGATGACACCATCACGCTGTCTGACGAGGTTGTTGGTGATCTCCAAGGCGCTCGGTTTCCGTGAGTCGGCTGGTGAGCTCGTGCTGAGCTCGTGGTCACTCGGGACATGCGTGGCCCAAAAGGTCCCTAAGAGCCGATTCGGCCTGAAGAAGGGTCAATGAGCTGCTGGGGTTCTTGGGAGCATAGATGGGTGTGTCTTTTGGCGTGACCTGTGATGGGTTTTGGTCCATTTTCCTTCTTCAGGGGGTCATTGGTTGGGAGGTCTCCCTATTTGGATACACACCCATCTATAGCTGAAATGATCGGATTGGCGGAGAGTCGGAGAGTCGTTTTCACGCTTTGGAGTCCTGCCTAGGTTCGGGGCCGAACTGGGCCACTCTGGGATTTGAGCGGGAGTCATTTTGCCCCACCTGGATTGAAGATATGGGCGCCCCACCTGGGTCTTGAGGAAACCAGGCCTGGCTGGGTAACACGACGTGCTTGCGCAACAAGATCCACGACAGTGGTACCGGACAAACCAGGATACCTGAGTTGACCACTGAACATGAACAGAAAATGACGACCTACAGGAGGCCAAGCTACCAGGGTTTGGGGTGGGGTCCCAGGTTTATGACCAGATCCATTCATAAAAGATTCATCATTTCATGATGCCCTAAGCAGCATGACCCCTCGAATGTAGAGGACAGAACCTAGATTGGAGGGGGCCTTGGGATCTCAAATCCCTCCCTCGCTTCCTTTGGCCCTTAGTCACTTAGTCGCTTAGTCTCATGATCACAGATTCAGATGCCAAGGCATGACGTCCAAAAAGCAATGTTTTCCATCCCGTAAGGCCTTGGTGAAAGATGGCACAGAGGCGAGGCGCAGCTGCTGCCAGTCAGTCAGTCCGTTGCCGTTTCCACGGGCGACCGAAGAACACGTCTTCTCCCCCGCCCAGAATCCTTGACCCCTGCCATTGCAGGGGTCGGACCTGACCCAAATCCGGACTCGAAGCAAAGCCGTATTTGAGGGCCCCGATTCTTACGGCCCCATTTTTCAGTTTGAACATAGGGTTTGTCGAGGCCAGACCACCGGTGACCCCGATGAACAGGTCGACCAAGTCATCCAAAGAACAGGTCCCCCACCTACTGTAGTTCAACACAAAACCCTAAGGGCCGTCTAAGAATCCTGGCGACCTCAAAAGCTATTAAACATTTCCCTAGAAGTCCATGTTTGACTATATTTTGACCGAAGTAAAGGACATTCCTAGACTCAGGTCACCTAAAGACCATCCTTTTTATGGTCTTGCACCTTCAGGAGACGGTCCATGTCGCCATGCTCCGCCCTCAGTCGTACAGCAATCGTCAAGCCCATGTGGAACTTGCAGCGCGGTGCCCAGTTCGAAGGGTCGTGGATCGTGGCCAGTTCGAACGGAGCCGTGATGAGACCAAAAGTCGTTTGCCAAGCATGCAGCATGCTCCTTTTCCGGATGAAACGGTCTCATAAACTGCTTTCACGAGCAGCTTCTTTCGCTGTTCTTCTTCTTGCACGCTCTTTTTTCAACACGATTTCATTTCTGCGCTGGTTGCGTAGCAACATCATGAAATTCTTCGTGTCCACCGCTGTGGTCTGCTTGGCAAAGTCGAAACAACCGCCGCAGAGGGAGACAAGGTCGCAACGAAGCGAAGCGATTCATGTACAGCCTGATCAATGGGTTTCCTGGCCCCCGTCTTCAACTGATGATCTTGTCATGTGTGTTTGGGGTGGAACCTGACTTGCCTTCTTCCGGTGTTGTACGGGTCGAGCCATTGACCTGGGCGGAACCCCCATCGCTTGCCAAGGACAAGATCCGCCAAAGGGATCCCTCCAAGGCCCCCAAGGTCGACAGCGACCGCGCGGCGCAGGGTCGGTACGATGGAGCTTGGCCTTTCGCGCCGAGTGTGGTCGAGCGTGTTTGGGTGTTCAGAGAGATGGAAAGGCAGATTGCACCTAGGCGTGTTTCGGTGTGTTTGTGGCACAGATCAAAAGGACTTCATATATGGTTAAGACATATGGAATAAGAAACAAAACAACACCTTGGGATGCCACCTACCAAAAGAATTGGTTCAGGCTTGATTGAATCCCTACAGCTCCAACTCTAGAGCTATCCTTCGTTTCGGTGATTGGGGTGGGTGCCAGGAGGATCGGTCCCTACCTCTGTTTCGGGTGTGGGAGCCCCTTCAGGACATTTTGTCCCCCGGAGCCAGCCGGAGCGAGGGGTAGTTCATGGACACCTCGAATCAACTTGTATTTAGGTGCTATAGTCCTTAGACACCCCGAGTTTCGGGGCCCTTGGTAGATTTGTTCAATCTAGACCTCTTTTTGAGGGTCCAGAGGTGGCAACACCCAGATGGGCCTGTATGAAGCGATTCCAATAGCCAATGGTTGTTGATCTATTTGCCTTCTTTGGTTGTTAACTGGGGGTCCCAAGATTCCGAAGACACGGCGGCAGATTTTCGATTTCTGCCCCCGGCGGTTTTGGCCCACGGTTTTTTTCGGCGGCCGGGGAACGAAGGGAGGAGGAGGATAGGGGTGGTCAAAACATTCTTCCCAAGTGCATCCCAGCCCTTCATTCCTTTGGAACTGCTCGTCCTGCATCTCCAGAGTGCACACCTTCTCCATCCTAGCAGGTGGGTGAGCGTGTGCCCTACGTCTATGTGGCCAGAGTCTCTCGGCCTATCGAGTGGTTTCGCAGGTTTCGGAGCAGCTCTATGCAGCTGAGTGGGAGTTGGAGCATCTACAATTCATGGCAGATGTACCTTTGCAATTCTTGAACTCGACCAGCTGAGTTCAAACACTCTTTGCATCCAAAGCTGCAGATGTCTACTGAACTGGAACCGGAACTGAGCTTGGTTCAGGACGCTGAGCTGGCTGTAGACTGTCTCAGGAAAAAGGTGCCAACGCCTGTGATCGTGCTGAAGATCCGCTCTTTGCCATGGAGGCGGGTTAGATCGGTCGAGTCGACGCGCTCAACGGCCGCTTTCGAGCGCGCGTTGGTTGACGCACGAAGACGTTGACGCAGCTGCTGCGGTGGCGGATGTTCGAGTTTTTTGGGGGAAGACACATGGGAGAATGCTTTTCCTCTTAGTAGCTCTTGGTTGATGGCAAGTTCCAGCTCTTGTAGCAGCTTTTTCCAGGGGGGAAGTGGCGAACACGATGAGATGGGTGGATCATTCGGGAGAAGAGATGGTAGGATTTCGGCAGAAGGACTAAGGAGTCGTGAAGGACTCGGTGGCCTGCCAGTCTTAATCCAATCATTTGTGCAGGGACTCGGAACGCCCAAAGGGACTCATGACTCGCCACACATAAAGGGTCATGGGACCCGTGGAGCGGCTTTTGGAAGGATTTCCAGTGAGTCCACGGCCATTTTTCAGTATTTTTTCAGTATATAGTCCTTTTGGAGGAAAATAGCTTCAGTCGGAAAGCAGCTTCAATTCTTCTTCCTGCACGTCCTGTTGCTCGTCGTTCACGTCGCAGCTGACTCGACCGCAGCTTCTTTCCTCTCCGCAGCCCTGGTGGCTCGTTAGAACCCCCCAGCCGCCGAGACCGAAACCAAACATCCATGTGGCGGTTAGCAGCTCTGCCGCTGGCACTGGCGGTGCCGCTCGGTACAGACCTGGTTAGGGAAACCCCGGGAGTGGCCTTTGGAGTCTGCTTGAAAAAGCACGTGGGAAGGCAGCGGCCTGTTTCCTTCCAATAGTTCAACATCTTTATACTGCATGTAGTCCATTTTGCGAATAGTTTTTGATGTTCTTGCAGTCTGCGATCTCTAGCAGGACTGCTTGCGAAATAGTGTCGAACCTTAGCATCATCTAGCTCAGTTATAGTCTGGGTTTTCGTCCTCGATCCCTTCCCCTTCCTTGCTCGATCCGCTGGTCAGTTCCGTCCGCGCCCCGCGCGGGCACGGTGGGCGTGGGGACTGGGGACGGAAGTGGCGGTGGGTGTCGTTTTTCGTTGTATAGACCATGTGCATTAGAAGAACTCATTTCTTTAAACCTGGACCCCGGAGTCGGGGTGGTTCATGAACACCCCAAATCACCTCCGAAATCGGGGCGACGGCTACCCCTCGACCCCGAACAAACGCGACCCGTTGGGTCGCCGACCTGACGAGGGAAGGGGAGGAGTCTGACCTGAGGAGGGCAGTGTTTTCACGGGCTCCGTGTGCTTTTCTGTTTTCCAGAGACGACGTCCACGGGACACTGATATGTTTTCCACCCCAGGCCAGGGGTGGTGCCGTGCCGGGGTCAACTGATCGGCAGTCACATCGGTCGTGTTTGGCTTGGTTTTCTCACCAGCGGGGTCCGGACCTGGCACCCTTCCCCGGGTCCGCCTGCCTCGTGGCACCGGCCCAGGCCGCGCTTTGATATCAACTTGGATGCTCCTCCAAGAGAGCGGTTCGTTGAGGTGGCCACATACTACAAAGAGGACGATTTCAACAACAACAAACAAGAGCAGGGGAAACCATCCGGCAAGGTAATTAAATGTTTTTGGTGGGTGACTTTTTAAGGCCTTCGTTTTTCCGTGGTGAAAGGTGCCAAAAAGACCTTGATGCAACTTGCCCTGAAGAAGCCAATCAGCATTGCTCAAGTCTTCTAAAGTACCAGTCTCAGGCTGTTTGTGAGGGCTTTTCTCCAAAGTGGTTGGGGTGATTTTTAGTGGAAGAGCTTCTTCTGTGTCTTCCGCCTTGGCTCAAGACGTGCTTCTTCCAAACAGGAGATTCTTGCCATGATGAAGGCATGGGAAGAGGTGCTCGAAAGGGACTTCGCTCCCAGCGAGCAGGTGTGGAGGACACAGACGAGCGCACTGACCCCGCTCGTCCGAAGCATTCACATGCTGGAGGAAGTCTGTGACGTGTTGGCTTTCTTGAAACACATTTTAAACCGTCGTAGATAACAATGAAGAATAGATGACAGTTCTTTTTTTTGGGGGGGGGCATATATGTGGGATTCGTGCGGACTATGCCCTCTGGCAGCTTTCCAATTGCGGAGTATCTCTGGAGGATTCGTATCACCATACTGGACTGGACTGACTGTATCTACCCATATTCCACTGGCCATGCACTCGTATTGAAGGCCGTTGCAATTTCTCTTTGGGCATTAGGTATAGGCAAGATTTGGGTGCATGTGTATCTTAATAGGGAGGGAGACAATGGGTTTTGGTCTATTCTCCTTCTTCCAGGGGGTCGAACAGGGAGGTCTCCCAATTTTAACAGACACCCATTTCCTGTGTGAGAGGAAACAACTTCTTGCTTCTTAAGCTGCAACCCTGTGACACCTTGTGACTGTCACCAAAGTTATCCCGATTATCCCCACAGTGTGGCTACACTCCTTGAAATAATCATGGAAGTGGATGAAATGGCCCTTCGGATTACCTTTTTCCTCTACAAATGATGGTTTTGCACTTTCATGACTGTTTCAGGGAGTGTGTACTAATACTAACAGCCTTCGTTCGGGTGCTAAGTAGCTATACGTAGCGGTGCGGTGGCCTTGAAAAAAGGGGGGGCGCTTCATGGGACCTAGTTCTTGGAGCAGTCCTAGTTTTATGTTTTCTTGCGTTTGAGTAGCTCCATCCCTCCTGTGGTCTTTCTGAAAAAGTTTCTTTTTGTTCGCGCAATACATGTCTCACAGCATGTGGATCGGCGATGATCGCGGCATGGCCTGCCGCCAGGCCGACTGGGTGCGATTCGGAGCGCCGCAGAGCCATCTGGCGGCGATCTTTTGGTGGGACCCTAGGGCTCCTGGCCCACCTTCGTTTCGGTTCGATGGGCCAGGGGTGGGAGCCAGGGGGGTCTAACCACCGAACCTGAGGAGATGGGGCAGGAGCCCTAGGGGGAAGACATGTCGGGACCCGTGGGTGATCTCCACGGGTTTCACGGGGCGCTCAACAGATTTCGCTCGAAGCACCGGGCATCGACCGAGCATAGACCGGGGCACCGGGCATCGGGCGAGAGGTGTTGGTCTCCATGCGTTGCCTCACCTACTTCACTGGGCGAGATGTTTGGGGGGTTTAAAGAGGGCGACTCCGAGCAGTCATGATTGGTTGGTCGAACCGGCCTGGGTTAGGTGTAACATGCTGTAACTTTCGTCCAAGCAAAGCAAGCTAGCAGCGCTCGCATCAAGGTACGAGAGACATTCGGTTTCGGTGGAAAGACATGGATGAAATTGGCCTGTTCCCCTTTGTTTGATGTGAAAAATAGCTTGACATGCTTGAACAGATCAACAAGTGATCCATCAATCCAGGATTATTCATTATTGGCTGTTGTTCCAAAAGCAAGATCCAGAACGATTTGTAGTCGACTTTTCCATCGAAAGTATATATTGTATCACCAGACGTCTTCTTCTCAAGAGACGGGTGGTTTTCACACCCGTGCACTCACCCCTGAGGTGAAGAATTCCAGGAGGAGCTGCTCGGAATGCATGAGGCGCGGGATCTAGTGATCTGCGGTCCTCCCTGCATGTGAGGGGCGGAGACGGAACGGAGGCCTACGCATGACTATGAGAGAAGACCATGGCAAGGAGGACGTGGAAGAACGTGAAAGGAAGCAGGATGACACATGGAGCTTGATTGAAGCCCCAATTTGGCTGCTGCTCAAGAACGAGGTGTCACCTAAACCCCTCAGTCATTAATGAAATATGTAACAAATCACAAACACAAGATCACCTGAGAGTCCTTCGGTCTCCATACATATACATCGTGTATCTCACACTTGCCTCGTCACTCGTCACTCGCCCCAAACCTTCAGGATGTTCAGTGGGCAGAAACCGATGGGGAACAGGTTCCCAGTCCAGACAAGCCCATGGTTCCGGGACAGTCCAGACCAGCGCCAGGCAGTTGGATCGAATGTGAGCTTGAATTCCATGCTCTTGTTTCTTGGATTCAAGAACGACACGTGGGAAGGACCGGTGCCCAGCCCGGCATGGCTGATTGTGCTCGATGCCGGGGGGTGACCTCTACCGAAAGAGAGATGGAGAGTCTTCAGGAGGTGCTGTAGATGTGACAGGAACGTGCTGCCATTTTGCAGTTCATCTGTTTCTGGTCTGATAGCTCAGCTATTGCTCTGGTAGAGTGATCCAAGCCATAGATGGCAGGTTGCTTATGAGGGCGATCGTGCCAAGGTGAACAAGCAATAGGTATGTGGGTACCTAGTACAAAGACGAACCCTATTGTTCTCACGGTCGGACGTCACAAGCTCTCCCCTTCCTCTGAGGTTCAATCTTCTTTATGAGAGCCTTGACAGCTTTTGGTGCGCACGTGTAAGCAGACATTGCGCAGCTTGCGCAAGCTGGATTTCCCACTGTGCTGTCGATGCTCGCAGCGCCTAAGGATGGGATCACCAACTACCGCATGTTCCGGTTTTCTGGCGGCCAACGATGATGGTCAGGCGCGCGTTTGGTGTGTAGTTACAGTAGCTATATATACGTATAGATAGGTGAGAGTGCTCTGCATGCATCAGGCAAGCTTGCAAGCTTCATCAAGCTTCAGCTGAAGCGTGGGATGAGTACGTGATGTTTCACCTAATGCTATTTTTGTTGCCAACGAACTCTTTTGCTTGGTATGACCTTGCGCTTAAGTAGGATGTGGTGGGTCCAACGGTCCAAGTCTTTTGCCCCCCGCACGACACGACCCTGCCATGATACCCATGTACCTGCCCGACCCCCCCCCCTTCGGACTGGAGCTGCGGAGCCTCGGAGCTGCCGTCCTTCGGATGGGCTTGGTGTTTCGGTGAGGTGATCCATGGGCGTAACATGGATTATATGCTTCAGCGACTTGGAAGACCGGAGCGTTTGTGGATTTGAGCGTCGCATTTGTCTTTCTTTAGCACGAAGAGTCTGGTTCTTTTCGACGAGGTTTTGTTGGGGGATGGCGAAGGTTCTGGTTTTCGAGGTCCAGGTCTGGCCCAAAGCTGGTGAACACTGAGTAGGGTTAGTTGATTTAACGTTG